AGACTCTGCCTAAAATACTTAAAAAGTAAAAAGGAAGTAGTCCTTCCTGTTAAGCTTCTTTGAAGTCCAGCAGCAGGGCACAGACGTGGTTGTTTCACTGTCTCTGCAGTCGGGTCGTCATAAACATTTGGCAGTCACATGGACGTCTGTTTAGAGCCTCACAGTCTAATTCCTGACAGAGACTATCTGATCTGCATTTGCATAATCTCAAGTGACTTTATGTCAACATGCATAAGCGTGCATCTGTCAACAGTCAGCCCCTACCTTGTTCCTCAGGATGATGCTGTCCTTGTGGCTAACATTCAGCGCTAACACAGAGTCCCGGGCTCCAACATATAATATGTCCCCATCCTCACTGAGCAGCAGCGTGGTGGTGTTGCTGACGTCGTGGCTGTTGAAGCGGATGAGACGTCTCCCAGGACTATCTGTTATCAAACAGCAGTTTGTATCAGGACAAAGCATGCTAGCATTAAATATCCACAGATAACTAACAGGATCCAGATATAAGTGGCTACAGAGTGTTAGCTGTTTAGATGTCTGCGAAACGTCTCTTCCAAGTTTATTATGTCACAGAAAATATTGTGACCACGCTATCACACTTATTCAACACTAAACACACAATTCACAGTGCACACAGAAAGCATCCACATGTCATTATAACCTGATTCGTTTTGACCTCAAAGCTTAAACACAAAAGTCCAGAATGACAAACGTGTTCACAGCCTTTGCTACGACACAAACTCGAGGTCAGCTCAATTCTGTTTCCACTGATAATCTGTGAAGCGTCACGTGACTGGTGAGAAATCCAGCTGATTGGATGCCACACCTGTCTAATTGACAGTGCATGTCAGAGCACAAACCAAGCCGTGAAGTCCAACCAACTGTGTGCTGACCTCTGAGACAGGATTAAACCAGGGCACAAATCTGGGGGGAGGAAACATTTCTGCAGCACTGAAGGTCCCAATAAGCACAGAGGCCTCAGGAAGACGTTTGGAACCAGCGCTTGGAGTCAAAGGGCCGTTTTAAGGTAGATGAAGCTCAAAGAACTCCACTGTTGGTTTGTGGAGAAAAGAGAAACTCATCTCTGCACCACTCCACCAACCAGGCCTGTACGGCCAGGTGGAAAAGTCACCTGAAGGACTTTCAGACCATGAAAAACAAAATTCTCTGATCTGATGAGACAAAGATCTAACTCTGTGGCCTGGATACCAAGCACCACATCTGGAGGATACTCTGGAGGCACTGCTTAGCACCTGGCCACTACCATCCCTACAGTGAAGCACGGTGGGGGCTGCATCATGCACCATCAGGAACGAGGGGACTAGTCAGGGTCGCACGATCTGATATCCTCGTGTTGGTGTTGTTCCCAGATCATCATACTAAAGGTTGTTCCAGGATCAACATTGCAAGTGACCAATCAGAATGTTGTGATGTCATACTTTTGCGACTTCGGGAAAAACCGTCGTAAAACAAAAAACTGTACTTAAGCTGCGAGAAACCGCCTCTGTCCGCCGATCAACGGACCCTAACCCTTTAATAAACGCTAAGCAGAGTTGATATTGTCCTTGCAACATTGGAATTTCATAAATGCACGAATGGGTTGGTGCGCAAAAGAATAACGTCACAATAATGTGATTGGTCACTTGCAATGTTGAACCTGGAACAACATTTTCATGATGATCTGGGAACAACACCAACACGACGATATCAGATCATCCAGTCAGGGTCAGAGACATCCTTGATGATAACCTGCTCCAGAGGTACTGAAACACAGCCAAGATAACAAAGGAGCGGCTTCACTGTGTCGATGTTCTTGGGGAGCCCAACCAGAACCTGACCGAACATCTCTGAAGAGATCTGAAAGTGTTTGTGCACGGATACTGTTGCTGTTAGTTTTTATGCAACCTCTTCTTTACTTACATGTGAAACACGCATTATTATCAGATACTGAAGTGTACAATCTCACAGTACTCCATCTAACATGACTGTCAACTACATTTGTGTTTGGAATCACAGTTAATTTGATTAACATGATTTTGTCCTTTTTTTAAATTCATGAGGTTTCAGAACAATATTTGTGCACAAGAATCGATCTCGTATATGAAAGACGTGAGAGAACAAAAACATCGCTGTGCTTCGTTCTGTCCCTGATACATTTAATGACCCAACATGATAAAGGGGGTAAAATGCGCGTGATGTTTCAAAGGCTTCACTCACCCATGGGGAAGGAGACTCTGGGAGTCAGTGTTGTCACACATGGGCACAGAAAGCCCAGCAAGGCCAGGGCGAGAGGCAGCAGGATGGGGATCTCCATCACAGCAGGAATAATGGAGTCTGGCCTCGTTTACATTGAAGTTCACTGAAGTTCACATACTCTGCTGTCCATCACTCCATCTGAGACACATGCACACACGTTACCGTACAGTCCTCTGATCAAATGCATTGATTTGTGTTGTTTCACGGTGAGTTTGTGTAACTCCGTTAATGTTTATATGCCCAAGCATCAAAGCTACAGGTTTAGAAATCAGAGATATCACCTACACGGAGGAACATGAGGAGAACATGAGGAGGACATGAGGAGGACATGAGGAGAACATGAGGAGAACATGAGGAGGACATGAGGAGGACATGAGGAAAACGTGGGTCCGTCGCTGCGTTTTGTTTGTTCAGCTGTGTCTTTGTTTCTTGCTGTGATGAAGAGTCGCAGCTCAGGCAGCGGCTCGACGTTTCCACAGTGTGGAGATGTCGCTGATTTAAAAACAGGAACCTGAAGATGAGCTCAACCCCGTAACGCGACGCATTCACTCGGACGGCTCCGCCAGCACAGCCCGCAGAGTTTCACGGATGACTGCTGGGGCGTTTTATGTTGAGTAACGATGCAAAGACGATAGTTTCTTGTGTGCTAAATAACTCTGTGTTAGAAAACTTACAGAGCGACAACACAAAGACAGAAAAGTCAGCTTACGTTTGCTTTCCTCTCCGTTTTCCTTCCATCGCTCCCAAAGCACCGATATTCTGTCCAACACTCGCGGATCAGTAACGCGAGGAGAAAACGCTGACCGTGGTTCAGCTTTTACTATAACAACAACGCCTTCTCCCATTCGGAGGGAGCCCCGGCCTCCACCTGCAGGGCAGCCGTGCACATTACAGCGTACGAGCAACAGGCCCTCCTCAGGCCCCAGGTTCAAGCTGAGTGTACCAGGGGTCTCAAACTATATGCGCTGTGGGCCACGTTAGTGTTCAAGTGGTAGAAACAAACAAACAAAGAAACATTTCTGAAAATCTAGTTGTTGTTTTTAAATATCAAATATTGCACAATAAGATCAAACTGCATTTTCCTCCCTCTTAACTAACTGAAGCCTTTCATTGAACTACCAAATAAACTCATTGGTTCTCTTTGCCTGTGCACACGTGCACACGTGGCAGCACTTCTGCTGTCGTTGTGTTCATATTTAACAAAACCAAAGTGCAGACATAAGTGTGCAGACATTAGTTTGTGAGTCTGTCAGTAAACTGACAAACGTGGGGCGATCGTGGTTCAAGAGTTGGGAGTTCGTCTTGTAATCGGAAGGTTGCCGGTTCGAGCCCCGGCTTGGACAGTCTCGGTCGTTG